ATATTCAATTATACTCGAAAAAGCATCTACTTATTGGGATAAAAATGATTTAACTGATGAAGAATATAAGGAATTTGACAAAGAAATTAAAGAGTTTGTTGGAAAATTTAAAAATTCTGAATTTAAAAGAATAATTAAAAGATGTGAAGTTAAAAGGTTAACAGAAGAAGGAAAAGTAAAAATAACAAATAAACAAAGAGAAGCTTTAGTAACTGATCATTTTAGCCATTTAAAACATTATTTAAATGAGAATCAAAAAGAAAAAGAAAAATTAACAAAAAGCTTTAAAAGCAAGTCAATGTTGATCAATTTAATTATAGATAATGATAAATTTGCTAATTTATATTCAGTGTTAAAATTGGAAGAAGGTAAGGGGGGAGGGGAAATAATGGAGAAAAAGTCTTATAATTTAACATAAAAAATATTTTCAAATGTGAAAGCCCTTCGGCAACACGAGTCTATAAAATTTCTAAACTCTTGAAACCTATATTTTAAAAAACTGGTCTTCCAAAGTGTCTGGAATTACATCCAGAACCGTTTCCAAAATTTCAAAAATACATATGTATTTTTCTAACTCCTCTCTATCCTTTTTCATAAAATGAAAGATGCATAATGATTAGGGTGCGCAAAACATGCAAATGCATATTTTGTACATATGCGGATTATGCTATGAGCTGAAAGCTCCAAATGGTTTTTTACGTCGGTGTGAACATTTTGCATATTTTGGCATTTTAGTGCATATTTGCATGTTGGTGCATATTTAGGCAATTTTCGCATATTTTTAAAATTTTGTGCATATTTGGATCATTTTTCTGTACATCATCCAGAACCAGACATTTTTCTGTACATCATCTTAAACCAGACAAACATTTTTTAAAAAATGTTTGTCTGGTTTAAGAAAATTTTCAAATATTTTTTCAAGATTTCTCCGCCAGCCAGATTTTTATTTTTGAAAATTAATTTAATCACAGATCATTATGTACTAAAACATTTTGTGGAAAAAGAGAGAGAGAGGGGTAGAAAAAATATAATACCATATTTAAAATTTAGATTTTAAAAATAATGATATACTAAAGAAATATTATTTAAATGTTTTTGCGTTAATTGATGAAAGATCGAAGAAAACAAATAAAATGTCGGCAGATTTTTTAGTTTGGATTAAATTTGCAGATGGAATTATTAATTCTAATAAATGGAGAAATAAGCATAATCAAGAAAAACTTATAAAATTTTTCAATAAAAATAAGTTTTTAGTTCATAAATATTATTGGGACTTTTATTGTCTTAATTTAGAAGAGTTAAAGGAATGTAAATGTTATAACGCGTTTAAATTTATATTAGATATTATTGAAGAAGCCAAATCAGCAGACGAAAAAGCAAACATAGTATGTATTATTTATATACTAAACTTTAGATACCTAGGTAATGTAGTTTACCAGTTTTCTTTTGATTCTTGAATTTTGACATAGGTTGGTTAAGCTTTTACGCTAAAATGACGAATTTTGGGTGCTTAAATTTATTTTAATTTAAGACTCTCTATTGAAACCCCGACACCCGTCCCCGAACACCGACCCAAAAATCAGCCCCGACATGCCGTCCCCGGCAAACGCCAATCCCCTCCATTTCCGACCCCAAAGGCTCTGGGAGCTACCCTAGTTTTATGTACACTTGTATATCAGCAGATTCTGCTCTGAAAATTCCGCAATTCCGGCCATGGCTGCGCGCAATGTATTTTTTACGTTTAAAAAATCTATTTGTATACATATCAAAGAATAACAAAAATCTATTTTAAATTAGCATTATAATTTAGGCGTATAAACCCAACATGGAAGACATAGTAATCTCAACAGATAATTCAAACACAAGTGGCATTGAGAAAAGAATCAAAGAACTACATTTAACTACACTGGGAATTTTTTTAAAAAATGAAAGTTTCAGCAAGGATTTAGCTATTAGTAAGTTTCAAATATTCAGCCTGTGACCGCTGTCCCCGATATTAATTAATCCTAATGAAGATTAATCTGATCATTTAATTTAAGAATTAAAAGAAATTGGAGAAGAAAAATTTAAAAACGGACTTGATTTATTTATTGAAACAAAAAATATAAATAAAATATATGAAAATATAAGTAAAACAGATATTAGAACGGAAGAAGAACGTAAAGCTGAACTTAAAGCTAAAGAAGAGGAATATTTAAAAAATATTGCTCTTTGGGAAGATGAATTATTAAATGAGGAAAGTAAAGGGAAAGGGAAGAAAATTAAAGAGAAAAACAAAGAAAAAACATCAGAAAATACAAAAAAGAAACAAAAATCAAAATCTTCAAAAAATAAAAATATTGCAAATACAAGCAATTCAGAAAAAGAAAAACAAAATCAGAAAACAGTTGAACAAACAATTCAAATAAAATCAGAAAATGTTGAGGAAAAACAAAAGATAAAGGAAAAGCCTCCTCCCCCTCCTCCTAAAAAGCCAAAAAAGAAATTAACAAATAAATTAATTGGAGGAAATAATGAAAAACAAAAAAATATTTCTTCTTTTTTTTCTTCAACATCTTTAAATGAATTAAAATTAAAAATTTCTGAATTTACAAATAAACAAATAATTAATAAATTATATTTAGAATTTATCGAAAACCCTTCAATAGAAAAACGTTATTTAATTGATATAGGCATTATTATTAATGAAATATATAAACGTTTTACTGCATTTAAACAATTAAAAGATAAAATATGGCCATTAATTTATGAAGGAATATTTGGAGGAGAAATTTTTGAAAAAATGCCAAAATGGCTGGAAAATTTAACAGAAGATGATCAGAATGTTGATAAAGTAATTAATTTATTATTTGTAAGGGGAGGGGGTGTCTAAGTTTAAGTGAAGCTCTAATTATTTTTTTAACTTAAACATGTTCAACAAAAATATCCTTAATAAATATAGGTATGTTTTGAACGGCCTTGCTTGAAAAGCTTTATTTCCAAATTTTTTGAGCAGTGACACCAAACTAGTGTTTCGCCGGAAGTTCCGGTTCAGGTAGGCCAAAAGTTCCGTGATTTTTTGGTTCCTTTCGGGTTCCGGCCTTTCAGTTACTGTTCCGGCCAAATTTGCGGTTCCGGCGAAACACTTTACCAAACCAATTGACTAAGTCATCAATTTTTTGTTGTTGCATTTTTGGTGAATTAGAATTTATGGTGTAAAAGCTTGTAAATTTAATTCTGAGTTAGTGGCATTTTAAACATGTAACTTTAAAAATCATTGGTAATAAAATGGGAAACAATCCAAAGATTTGTACTAAAAGCGGCCATTAATTACTATGTCCGTAACTAATAATATTTTTAAGGTTTTTGAAAATATTCATCAAATTGAATTGTATAACAGACTTAAATATTTAGTTAATTTAATTGAAGGAATTTTGAAAGTTGATAAAAATATTAAAGAAAAAACAATTTTAAATGAAAATAATATTTATTTTATTATTCATCAATTACATTTACAAAAATTAGTTTCTTCAACAGAAAATATTGTATTTATTAAAGAAAAAAGTCAAAATGAAAAAGAAAATATTATTTCAATTCTTTTTGGAATTGAAGAGTTAAAAGGGATTGAAGAATGGTCTAATAGAATTGATGAACAAATAAATGATTGGAATAAATTTAAGAATCAGAGGGATATTGGTACTAAATTTAATTTAAATAAAACTTTTATATACCTGTTAAATAATAACTTTGTAGCATAATCTGATCAATTAGTTCCTGTCATAAAAATAATTCTCAAACCAAAAGCTCTTGATTGACATACCTAATAGTTATTAAAATCGGTTAAGAATTAAAAAAGTTTTTGCTAAAAAGATGGCTGAAAGGGCCTTAATGAAACAGGCTCTGCGGAACTAAATCATAAACAAAATTATGATAGGGGATTTTATATGAGGGATATATCATCAAGTTTAGAGAGCTTATTTCGAAATGAGCTATAGAACAATTCAAAACAAAATTAATTTTAGATAATCAAAATATTGGAGAATATGGCCCAGCAAAATATTTAAATCCAGAATTAATTCAAAATTTAATATTTTCTGAGGAGAATGAAGATAATTATAATTATGAAATATTTGAATTAATTGAATTAAATAAAGAAAATAATAAAAATATGAATGAAATAACTAAAAAATTAAAAAATATATTAAATAAATGGGCAGAAATATTTGAAGCTGATTATGAATTTTTGATTGGGGGATCTTTAATGTTGGAAGTAAATACAAAAAATTCTGATATTGACGCTATTTATGTTGTTAGAAATAATACTGAATTCTTTTGGGATGAAGAAAAAGAAGAAAATAATGATGGAATAAAAAAATTGAGAAGTAGAGCTACACAATTTTTTGGACGCTTAACTTCAAAATGTTTAAATGATAAAGAGAAAAATTGTTCTGATCAGTCTTTTTACTGTTATTTATGTTTACAGGTAGAATAAATATAAATAAAATAGTCATAAAGTGAATATAGTATTTACTGTATATCTTAAGGACATACATAATTTATACTCCCTGTATCTTTATTAAATAAATATTTATTTAGATTATAAGATTTATGGTTGGGTTGAAATATAAACTATAAATCTAAATATACATCTGACTTTTGTCCAGCTGTGTTTGATCGGTAGTTCTTTTCGGGATTTTTTGTAAAGTTCCACTCCGGATGCGGTTAAACCCGAACTTACAGCCAAACAGGAAAATAAACGGCTAAATATTAAACTGGAACATAAACCTTATCCACAACACTAGCTTCCTAAGAAAGGTCTTTTGTTGAAATCAAGCCCCAGTTCAATCTATAAATAAAAAACAATTATAATCTAGCTACTAATTAAAATTTAGGACAAAGTTAAGAATTTAAAAAGAATTGGAGAAATACGTGTTCCTTTATTGAAATTTGAATTTCATGGAATTGATATAGACATCAGTTTTGTACAAATTCCTGAAGAGATAAAAAATAATGAAAATTGGATGGATGAAGCTTTAAATAATGCAGAAAATAATAGTTTAGGAAGAGTTTTTCCTTTATCTGGTTATAAATCGAATTTAATTATTAAAGAATTATTACCAAAAGAAGAGGAAAAAATAAAATTATATTGCTCGGCATTAATTTTATTAAAAATTTGGGCAGAAAGTAAAATACCTAATTTAGAAAAATATTTTATTTTTAAAAATTTATAGATAATTCTATTTATGGAAATCAATTTGGATTTTTGAGTGGTACTTCTATGTTAATTATGTTGACTAAAATTTATTTATTATATCCAAATACTTGTTCTGTTTTGGTTATATTAGATAGATTCTTTCTTACTTTTTTGACATGGTTAGTTAGACAAATTATTTTAAAATCTTAAATTTAAATAAGCTGGTTCATTTTTTAGCCCATTGACATTGACTGGAGTTGACATTAAACGTGATCCAAATTTATGTGGATTTTGTAGTCAAGGCTCTTCTTATCCACCTAACTAAAATTTTAATTCCGATAGTTTTCTTTTTTGCTTGCTTGGACATACATAAAAGCAAGCAAAGGTCTTATGTTTATGTATTTTGTGTGAAACGAAAGCAGATCACATCACCATTTTTAATTTTAAGGAATTGGCCTAGACCTTTCCTTATTGGTAAAATTGACGATAGTTTACCGCATAGTTGGAGAATTGGAACTGAATTATTTGCAAGGGAAATAACATTTTTAAATAAGCAAGGAATTGAAGAAGATTGGGATGATAAAAGTGATAAAAAATATATAAAAATGGAAAAAGAAAAATTGAAAGAAAATGAAAAAGAAAATATTGAAAGATTAAAAAAACATTCAAAATTAATAATGCCAATTTTAACACCAGCATATCCACAACAGTCAAGTGCTTTTAATGTTAATTATTCAACAATGAAAATAATTAAACAAACAATTATTGAAGGTTAATATTTGGAAATTTAATTAGAATTAAGTATCTGAAATGAGTACTACCAAATAATACTCTGATATATTGTTAAATAATTATTTTATATTTTAATTTTAACTTTTTTAAAATAATTTTTCTTTATAGGTTTAAGAGGATTAAGACAAATTCGCAATTCCCACTTAAATGAAATTTTGAAACAATGGATTAAAGGAGTTGACTTTGTTGATAAAGTAATTTTAATTTTTTATTTAAAAATTATTTTCCTTTCAAAGTACGATCATTTTGTAACAATTATTTGTGTTGGAATTGATAAAAATATTGGAGAGGATTTTTGTAATTTTGTAAAAAATCGAATTAGAGTTGAATTGGTTTTGTCATTGGAAGAATATCCAAAATTAGAATATTCACATATTTCACCAAATAAATCAAAAAAAGGAAAATGTGAAAAAAGATTAATTGCTGGGAAAAAATTTAAAAAATTTTGGTAATTAATAAATAATTTTAAATTTAAATTAAATTTAAAGGGAAGACAATTGGTGTAAACAATGGATTGTTGGTTTAAATTTTCCCGAAATATTTAATTATTCAAATAAAGAAAAAATATCTTTAAATTATTATTTTTTAAAGTTTATTAAAAAAATTAAAGGAAAATATATTAAGGTAAAAATTAAAATAATTTTTAATTCAAAAATTTAATTTAGCATAGAAAAATTGAAAGAACTAATGTGGCTATTCATTTACGTTATACTGATATTCACGAAGCTAAGAAGTTTTGGGGAGATAATTAATGATAAAAAAGCTTAATATTATTCTGTTATATAATATAAAACACATAAATCAAAACCCATAAATTATTTATTTATGAGCAAATATAGGTACATTAATAGGCCCTGCTTCATAACTATAACTCCAGTGTTTAGGCATGATTTTATAGCTTAACCTAACTGAAACTATGATAGCATGATATATTTAATAAATTACAAATAATCTTCATATTTCATTTCTCTAATTTTCTTGTGTTTAATGAAATTTATCTAACTTTTATTTTTATTAAATTTATTTACATAATTGTTACTCTTACTAATTGTTAATTGAAATTTACATTTTTATTGTCAACACATTTTCAATTTTCTTTGTTAAAAAATATTTAATATCTAAGCTAAATAATTATTAAACAGGTGATAATTATTCTATGAAAAAAAAAAGAATATTTAATAATAAAGTAAAAATTTTCAATGTACATTTTTCCTTTTAATTATATCGAATTAATTTTTTAAAAAAGTTCTATTTTATTATAATTTTAAAAAATTATTAAATTTAATTTAAAATTAAAAATTTTTATTAAAAAAATAAGTAATTAAAAGAATGTCTTTATTTCAATTATTTTTCCAAATTGATTATTATTTTTGTATAATTTTTGGATTTTTATTTAATTTTTCTTTAATTTGGCTTATTTTTAATAAGACACCAAAAGAAATGTTTCAACATAGTCGTATTTTAATTCAAAATTGTATTTTGGATATCATTTTTTTAATTATGGAAATCTTTGGTCAATTGGTTAGTTTGAAAATTTTTTAAATATTTTGTTTTTTCAAATATTTTGTTTTCTGATACAGATTTCGATTCTTAGAAGATTCCGGTTTTCAACATTTCATTTTTCACATTTTAGGAAATATTCCTAATTGACTTATTTTAATGTACTATCATTTTGATGATTCTTCGGTTAAATCAAGACAGACAGATCGGTTAAATCAAATATATTTTTATATTTTCCAATTCATTTGGAATTTATAAAAAAGGGATTTTTTAACAATAACCCCAATTTTTGATTTTTGAGTGTCGAGGAGTGTCAGAATCCCTTATACATACTATATATTTTTTAAGTGGGCATTTAATTAAAGAGTCCAGAATTAATTAAAGGTAATCCATAAATTTAAGGTTTTAATTTACAATGATAAAGGCACTATTTACTACATAATATCAACTGGCTTACTTTGTTTAATATCTAATGAAAAAATATATTTTTATATTTTCCAATTCATTTGGAATTTAATGTATATTTTTAATATTTATGCTTTAACTGTGCAATTTGTCTATAGATTTTTGATATTAAATTAGTATGTTTAGTTAAAATTAAATTGTAATAATTAGAGTTAGAACCCGGATTACTCCACAAACACCACAAATTACCTTATATCCCTCCTAATCCCCAAATCATCAATATCCCTCTTAATCTATCAAATTCTGTTATATCCGATTTAATCGTTTAAAATCCTCTTATATCCCTCTAAATACACCAATATTCCTTAACTTTTTTTAATTCATTATTGTTTAAATTCCAGCTATTCACTAATTTTTTACGCTAGCAAAATTTTTATAAGAAATTTTTTTGAAAGTCAGATTATAAAAATGATATCCGACTATAAAAATCCGACTATAAATATTTTTTCGAATTTTGATCCGTTAAATCTGGTCCGGATAAAAAATTCAATCAAACCACAACGATATCCATACTTATCCACTCAAATCTTTTAGATAAAAAAAATTTGAAATCAGGAAACCGGATCCGTTTAAAATGTCAAATTAGTAATAATCTTTGTTTATAAACTAAATTATTAAAAAAATTTTATTTAGAGCTAAAAAAATTAATATTCATTTTAGTGACAAAACAATTGGATATTTTCGTTATACTTTAATGCTCTTTACTGCTCTAATTCTTGTTTTTATTTATTTTATTTATCTTTTATATTATTTACAATACCCCGATTTTGTTTACGTTAATGATCAGCAATCTGTACTTAAAAATAGTTTGCCAGCAATTTTTCAAATAAATGATCCGTGCAAAGAAGTTTGAAATTAAAAATATAAGGGGGACCCGGAGTAATGTAAAAACACAATTTTTGGGCTTCTTAGTTCGAGGCATATCCGAATACAAAACTTACGTTTGTATGTTTTACCCAGCTCTTCAACCCTAACCTAAAAGATCTACTTACTAATTAATTTAATTTATTTTTAATTTAACAGACAAACAATTTATATAAATTATTTGCTGTAATTATACCATTTATATTTACAATAACCCCTTTTTGTATTATAATTATCACTGGAATTAAAATGGTTAAATATGTTAATTCACATACATTTCCTGATTCACAATTAAAGGATTATACAAAACAAATCACAAAAATTTTAATTATTTTGGTATGCTAAAATAAAATATTTTCCAAAAATTTAATTTAAGGCATTTATTCCCCTAACAATTCTTATAGCAACATCTTCTTTTGTTTTTCTAGGCTCTACAAACAACACAAATTGTAACAAAATAAATTATGAATTTAATCTAAATCAATTTAATTCACAATATTTATTTAATTTTTTAATTCATTTAGTCCCTGTCATTAATCCAATTGTTTGTATTTTAACAAATAAGCCATATAGAAAATTTGTTTTTAGTCGTTTAAATAAAATTGCACCAACTTTGTAAATTTAATATTAATTTTAATTAATTAAGAATAAAGATTTTAATATTTTTATAAATTTACAAAATTATTTACTGACATTATCTACTTTATGTATATATATTTATGTATAGATTAATTTTAATAAAACAAAAAAGAAGTATTTACAGACTTTCAATGAACAATTGAATCTCTCTAACTCATCACCTCTAGGAAACGAACACTGAAATACCAGAGAAAGTGACATGTGTAGGTTGTCAACTTGCCTCTCGAGATCGAATAGAGATTGGAGGGGCTCCTATACAACTCATCTAATCGTTAACTCATCTATTCGTTAACTCATCTACACGGCCAAAAAGGGTCAACTCATCTAATCGTTAACTCATCTATTCGTTAACTCATCTACACGGCCAAAAAGGGTCAACTCATCCAATCCTTGAAATATCGGCCGGTTGAGTCCCTAGCCGGTTGAGTCCCTGGTCAGTTGAGTCTCAACCGGCCCAAGACTCAACCGGCGGTAATCAACCACTCAAACGGCCGGGACTCAACTGACCAGGGACTTAACCGGCTAGAGACTCAACTGGCCATGGACTCAACTGGTCATGGACTCAACTGGCCATGGACTCAACTGACCAGGGACTTAACCGGCTAGAGACTCAACTGGCCATGGACTCAACTGGTCATGGACTCAACTGGCCATGGACTCAACTGGTCATGGACTCAACTGGTCATGGACTCAACTGGCCATGGACTCAACTGGTCATGGACTCAACTGGCCATGGACTCAACTGGTCATGGACTCAACTGGCCATGGACCCTACTTACCAGAGACTCAAACGGCCGGAGACTCAAACGGCCAGAGACTCAGACGGCGAGAGACTCAAACGACTGGTACTCAACAGTCTCGTTCCAAAGGATGAGATGAAAGTTTTTGGCCGTGTAGATGAGTTAAGGATTAGATGAGTTAACGATTGGATGAGTTGACCCTTTTTGGCCGTGTAGATGAGTTAACGAATAGATGAGTTAACGATTAGATGAGTTGATCCCTTTTTGGCCGTGTAGATGAGTTAAGGAATTTTAGCCGTTTAGATGAGTTGAACGTTTTTGGCCGTGTAGATGAGTTAACGAGTAGATGAGTTAACCGGACACGGATTGGAGGTAATGTGTAGGGATCGGCGGGAAGGCAAAATCAAATATTTGATCAAATAATTTAAAAATTATTTGATATTTGAAAAATTTGATTTCTACCAAAAGTCATCAAACAAATATTTGATCAAATATTTGTTTGGCCGATCTCTAGCCTATTGGGTGATCCGACTTTATTTATAATTGTCCCCTAGAAAGTCTCATTAGTTCTTTGTAGGTTCCAACTAATATCTAACACTCAAACTACCTCTTCTGTCCCTCTTATGCTTACATAATATTAAAGAGCAAGTTGGAAAATAAAAAAATATTTTTGTTTATTTAAAATTTTATAAAAGTGCAATAGACTTTGATCAAAAAAATCCGACAAAAATACAAAAATATGTCTATTTAAAAATTATTAGGAAATCTTTAAATGATTATGTAATTTTATTTAATAAAAAATAATAAAATATACATAATAAGTAGAAAACAAAAAGAATGAAGTCTTTATGTGCTTTTTTCATCGAGATCCAAAATCTCGAAAATCAACGGGAAATGAGGTGTACAGTACTTTAAAAATATTTTTACAAGTGTAGACTGTATATAAAAATTTTTATTATAGCCCATCTGAAAGCCCACAAAATTTGCTACAAAAAACACTTAGTCCTATCATAGGGTAAAATTTTATCACTGAGGAGATACCAGTTAAATGAGATGATGAATAAATTCTCCCAAATCACCCCACAAAATGTTATTATTTCGAGTTTCTAAATTAAACCGATTGCTCCTCAGTGATAAAATTTTTTTCCATGATAGGACTAAGTGCATTTTGTAGCAAATTTTGTGGGCTTTCAGATAGACTATAATAAAAAATTTTATCTACAGTCTACACTTGTGAAAATATTTTTTAAGTACTGTACCCCTCATTTCCCGTTGATTTTCGAGATTTTGGATCTCGATGAAAAAAGCACATAAAGACTTCATTCTTTTTGTTTTCTACTTATTATCAAAGGAAAAGCTTGCGTGAATTTTTGCAAAATTTTCAAGCATTCCTTATGTGATTTATGTTGGTGAACTTATAGTTATGTGGAGGGCGTTTTTTGAAAAAATTGGATAAAAAATTTTTGAATGGAAATTTTTTCGATTTCTCGGATTTATATGAATTGCTACCCGCTTTAATAAATATAAAATAAAAATCAGCCCGATTGATTGGCTGGAAGTTAAGAAATTCGAAAATTTAGGGTGAACTTATAGTTATGTGGAGCAGTGTATTTTAAAAATTCTGTTTTTATTAAAATAAAAAATATATTTGGATTTTTTATATTCAGAACGTGAAAAATAATTATAAATAAAAATAAATAAACGAATAAATTTTAATAAATATTTTGAACTAAAATATGTAGAAACTCTCTAACAGTAACCACTTTGGACAGATTCTTCTAGAAAGAGGTATATACGGGCGGATTCGTAAAATTTAGGAGATTAAGTGCATTTTATTACTAGGACCTCACAAAAATTTTTTGGGGAATTGTAGCTTAAAAATTATTTTTTACAAATAAAATTTTCAAAATTGTCAGAAATTTTTTGTCAAAAACAATTTTTTTGAAAACTTTTTTCGGAACTGTCAAATTTTCGGAAACAAAATAATTACTTTAAATTAACTTGTAATTCTGAGAGTCAAAATTAATTTATTTAACATTTTATCGCTTAAATTAAACTTTTTTTATAAAATTTAATTAATTTTGTTTGCATATCTGGTGCAACTTTTAAGAATTTCTGGATATTTGGGTGCATATCTGACGATGTTTCTTGCATATTTGGGGAGGCCCTATTTGTTATTTTTAAGCGGAGCTGCGTTGAAACAAAAATCTTTAAAAATCGGCAATCGAAAGAAATCCAAACATATCGAAAACAAAAAATATTTTTTTGTTTATTGCGGATTTAAAAGTGCAATGGACTTTAAATCAAAGAAAATAAAAAATTTTTTATATGTATATTTCAAAATTACTGAGAAATTTATTTTTAAATTTTTATTTGTTAGACAAAAAGTGCATAGTTATCTTTAATTTAAAGGGCAATACATATGTACTTAAAGAGTAATTTTTAGGGCAACTAATTCATTTATTAAATTTTAAAATAAAATATTTTTTAAAAATGAAATTTAATTTAATTTTCTTTTTAATATTTTTCATTTTAATAAATATTCAATTTTATAATGTTGAGAGTGGTAACAATTAAAATATTTATTTAAAATAATAAAAAAATATTTATAGAATATTCAAAATTATTAAAAAAATTTTAATATTTATTAAACACAAAATTTAATTTAGTCCTAATAAGGGATTTGATCGAACAATCGAATCTCGATATAATAAATTGAGGGACTGAGAAAAGTTTGTTATATTGAAAGGATTGTTAACTTAAAGGGGTCATTATATCGAGTTTTGACTTTAGAAATATTCTCCATTTATTTAAAAATTTTTTAGAATTTTTACTTTGATAAATTTTTTGTGCTTATTTTTAAATCTTTAATATAAATTATAATTAATATAAAAATATTTTTAAATATAGCTAAATGTGAAAATTGTCAAAAGGAAGCAAAATTAACTTGTGGTAGATGCCATACTGCATATTATTGTGACAGAAATTGTCAAATAAAAGATTGGCCTGAACATAAGAAAAATTGTAAACCAAATGGAAAAGGAGGTTTTTAGTTGGATTAATCTTTTTAAATTAAAAAAATAAAACCTCATGTCAAATCTTTAAAGTTTTATTGAAGGGATTGACATAAAAGATAATTGTTTTATTAAAAATACAAATGTAAGGCCGGCGAAGTTTCCTTTAAAATAAGGCATAAATTAATAAATTAAAACTCTCAGTGGTGGAGAAATGTTTGATTAACAAATCAACAAATTAAAAAGATTAAATTTAAAAAAATTTAAAAAATTAACAATCTTTAATTTGTTAATAACCTTGCATTCGAAAGCTTTCATGATCAGATTTCAAACAATCTTTTGCTGTTTTCTGGGACATCAATTAAATCGCGGACTAAGGGAGGCGTAATAAGTACTGGTTTGGCCGCTTTACTCAAATAAATATATTTTTAATAATTTATTTTTATATTTAATGAGAAATTAATTTCTTAGAACAAAGTAATGTCGAAAAAACTGCTAAAGAAGTTGAAGAAAATGTTGATGAAGGAGGAATTCAAGGTTTAATTAGTAGAATAATTTAATTGTTCTAACCTAATGTTTACTACACAATTTTATTCCCGCTTTTGGGAGAAGTAGTGCGAAAACCCTCGAGTTTTCGGAATATAAGAGTAGTAAGAATTATGAATTAACATGTAATAATTGATATAAATAATTCTTTAATTGTTAAGCAGTATAACGACGTTTTTTTTGTTTTTGATATACAATTCCACTTTAACCTTCTTTATATAAATAAAAAAACATAAACTATTAGTTTCCTTAAAGTAGTTTTGTAAATAAATAGTAAACAAAGAAAGTTAACACTTTCCGCTTATTTTAAATTGAATCAAAAATAAAAAAATGCCGCGAAATAGCACAATATTATCAAATATCTTTTTAATAAAAAATAATATTAAAATATAATATAAAGGAAAATGTGTTTATTGTAACAAGAAAGCAAAGGTTCAATGTGAGGAATGCAATAAAGTTGGTAAAGAAGTTCTATATTGTAGCGAGGAATGCTTAATTAAAGACAAGGAAAGACATAAAATTTTTTGTGGAATTGGATTTAAAGAAACACCAGGCAAAAAATTAAAAAATAATTTTTAAATTTAAAATAAAAAAATATTTCTTAAAGGAGATGAAGCATTAATTCTTGTTTTGCCAGACAATATAGAAACAAAACCTTACCTTACAAAAATTCAATATACTAAAGGATGGAAAGTAAATCGAAAACAATTGGAAACGATTCTTGGCGAAACTATATTTGATCGAAGTTATATTGAAAAAAATCTTCGAACAAACAAAATTGTAGTGTTTATTTAGTTTTAATAGGAAACAAATTTAATAAAAGCAAATCTAAATTTTCAAAAAATTTTCTATTCTAGACAAGAAATTTAAAAAGGATTTACGTTAAATATAGGTCGGAATTCTGATTTCTAAAATATTACAAAGTTCTTATTGTCTTGATATTTCTTTTAAAAAATTTGTAACTTTAACTAAAAATATCAATTATTTAACTAAATATTTAATTTTTTATTTATTTTATTTAATATTTTTTAAAAAAATTTAAAGTTGGATGCAGTAATTGGTTTGGTTTATCGTGATGATTTTAGTAAGGATGGATCAAAGTTAAATCCTTGGGTAGAAAAAATAAAAGAAAATTTAAAAGGGCATGAATGGAAAGGGCCTATCGTTGCTATTAAACGGTGATTTTAAATTTAAATTATTATTTTATAGGGGATTAATAAATAATTTTTAACAAAATTCCTTCTAATTTTGAAAGGAAAAAATAATTTATTTCAGCTTCTATAATTTTTTAAAAATTAATTTAAATTTATTTTTAGCCAAATTAGAACGGAAAACGTTTTGGATATTGAACCGAGCGATTTTACTGATATTGTAGATTTCCTTGTAGATTATACAAAGAAAACATCTCCAATGTATTAAAAATTAACTAAGGATTTTTTTAAAAAAAAAAGAAGAAGAAGAAATTAAAATTAAAAATGTGGTTAAATATATGAAATTATTTAATAATTAAATATATTCTATTATTATTATTTATTAAATTTGTAGAATAAAATAGTCGAATTTTAATTATTTTAAATTTATAAATTATGCATCTAAGTAAAGCTAAACTAAGAGCTGTAGCTATTACTCCTTCAACTACTCTAAAGGATACGAATTAGTGGGTCTTCTATTAATTCGAATTAACCTCGCGCATGACTTTAGGAATTAAATAGTTAATTGCTCTACATTATTCATTAAATCTAAATTTTTTTAAATATTATAATACTACAATTTTTATTAATTTAAGTTTTGTTTAATTTCATTCAAATAAATTTTTTTCAATTTTTTTATCCCTCTGTTTTATTCCTGCAAATAACATTTCCACAAAATTTCACTGAAAGAAAATCATTTTTTGACGACGGATAAATTAAAATATTCTAATTTATAAATTATTAATTTAAATATAAATTTAAATTTCGATATATTTATTTTAAAAATTTATTTTTTAGTTTAACCTTTTGTCATTCTTATAATTGAATTTATATAATGTTCATCTATGAAAATTTTTATTTTAATATTTACTTTTTTAAATTCTAAATTTTTAAAAGAAAATATAAATCACCAAGCACTTTATTTATTCAACAAAAGTACTTTTTTGCCATTAAATTAAAAAAAATTTTTTTATAAAATTAATCATAAATTTATTTTTTCTGAAAATGTTATGTATTTATAGATATATTCTTTTTTAATGATTAATATTCAAAAATGTTTAAAAGAAAAAGAAAATTTTTTATTTCTGTCTTGTCTCATAAAATTAAATTTAAAAAATGAAATAATTCCGAATTATATTTTAAATTAGAATTTATTTTCAAAAAAATTAAAATATTTTTTTTTGAAACATTTTAGTTATAATTGTAGGTATTAATTAAGTAATAATATAATTAAAAATTAATTTTTATCAAAAAATATTTATTTTTGCTAAATAATTAGTGTGGATATTTTTTAATTTAATTTTATTTTTTAAAAATTAAAAAATGTATGGAGGAGGATATCCCAACAACCACCAACATTTTATTCCCCCACCCCCATCACCTTTAATGGCTATGGATTTAGTAATGTTTGGTAATCAAAACAATTCATTACCTCAACAATACCCTCCACCTATTCAACAACAACAAAATCAAAAACCAATTTCCTCAAATTGTAAATTATATTTTAATTATTTTATGATATACCCTAAATGATGACCCTCTCTAATAATTATCCTTTAGTTATTTTACACAAACTTTAAAAATATTTTAAAAATTATGATCAAATTTAATTATCGAAACATTATCAATCTCGCCTCAATTGATATACATAGGTAAATATAACCTAAATCCGGCACATCCTCCCTAATAGTTACCCCCTCCAGCGTGGAAACAATAATTACTCAGGGTAATTATTTCAGCATTTACGGTAATTGAAATATCAATATATATTTTTAGAAATTAACTTAAAAAATATTTTTAGTAGAAAAAAGCCAACAACAGGCAAACGGCCAACAAAATAATTTGTGCAAGAAAATACTTTGCTTGCAGGTTTGTTAATTTAAAATTTTTAAATTATATTTCTAAACAAAAAAATAAAAAGATAATTGTTCTGTTGCTTGTTCTGTTAATTATTGCTGGGCTAATTGGCTATTTTATATTTAAAGAAAAGGATTTATTTTTTAATGGAAAAGAAGGAAAAATAAATGGAAATGGAACTAAAACAAATTAAAAATAATTTTTTCTTAATTTTATTAATTTAGATAAAAATGACATATTTTTTTAAAAATGACAGATTTTTTATTCTCAAAGTTAAAAATTTGGGAATAATTTATGTAAAATAATTGTTAATTTATCGATATTATTTCTAAAAATAATATTCAAATTTTTAACAATTTTTATTTTTTTAATATCCTTTACCTAATAAAAACTGTTTTGCCATGACCGATTTAATGTATTTAATGTTTTTAAATTTCCAAACACAGATTTTTAAACAAAATTTTTTCCCTTCAAAAAAAGACGAACAGAAAAATATTTTTTAATATGTATGTATGTACAATTCGAGTTTAAATTTCATAAAATCGTAGAGTAAAATATTTACATAGAGAATTTTAAAATAAGCCAAAAATTAAAATGAAATAAATAATTGTTTAAAAATAAAATAATTTTTTTTCATTTTTGTCTAAAAAATCAATGTGATTTAAAAAATGTTCAATTCTTGTCTAAAAAACTTTTTTCAATTTAAAATCACTCTTCAATTTCGTCCTCTCTTTTTTGTGGAAATGTTTGCTTATATGATTCTTTAATTTCATCAGAAACTTTTTCAGCAATTTTTTCCTCATTAAATTCAATAATTGTGTCATAAACTAATTTTCTTGTTTTCTCTATCAACTCAATTGGGATTTGAGGACCTTTGCTGTTTTATTAAATTTAAATATTTAAAAGAATTAAAAATCTTTAATTTTTATTAATTTAATTTATAAGAATTAATTTATCAGCACTAGGATTGATACAAAAGCAATCTAAATTGCTATCATCAAAAAATTCAAATAAGGGATAAAAAACTTTAAAAACCCCAATAAACTTACATTTCAAAACCTTCTCTGCATTTACTGCAAATATAGAAAATAGCTTCAAAAAACATTCCTCGAAAGTAGTCAATATTTTCTTCATCCAAATTTAAAGTTGAATTTACTTTAATTTTCAACCCTATCTTTGCAAATAACAATAAATTTTCCTCACTAAAATTCCTATATTTTTTCAATTCATTTAAAATTATGTGAATATTTGTTTGTTCAAATATATTGAGAAAATCTTCAAAATTGTAATTCATAACCGAATGCAAATTGGAGGGCATATTTAAAAGAAATGGTCCTGTTAATTTGAAAAATATTTTTAAAAGAATTTATTAATCGAAATTTTAGTAATTATTAAAAATCCAATTTCGACCACAAATAAAAAAAGATTAAAATTTATTATAAGAAAGTATACATATACCTATTCAAGTATAGAATATTAAACACAATATTTTCAAGCAATATATCTATTAATTAGTGTGGCCCCTGATAAAGATTTGGCTAAACCTCCGACCTCGACCCTGGACTAGAGATTGGTAAAAAAGATTCTCTATATATTTTTGTTAATTAAATTGTTTCAATAATTAACCGTTGTATTCACTGTCTTCTGTATTAACAGGTTCATAATTAAGAGACAAAGGTCTTTGTTTATCTTTTTTATCCTCCTCAACATCTAATCCCAACCTTGTCTTTACATGTTTAACATAATTCAAAAAAATATCCTTGTAAGCTCTAAATGAAAATATGTTGTCTTTATCTAAAAATTTAGCTGTATCAAATATTTGAATTAATACGGCAAACAAGGAAGCATCTGCCTTAAAATTTAAAAGAATATATTTAAAATGAAATGTTAATCGGTACCAGGGCTGATCGAAATTTCGTTTCGTTTCGCTCTTTCGTGCACTTTTTTCCATTTCGTTTCGTTTCGGAACGAAACAAAAAAAAATTTATTTCGTTTCGTTTCGAAACGAAATAGCCAAAATTCCGGACGAAACGAAACAAAAAAAAGTGAGAAAATGCACCCATAATGACGGAAATTTATGGAAATAATCGTTAATTTTTTAGTTATTTTTGTCTTATGAGCAGCTTAAAATTAAAAAATTTTCGCCTGCGGCGCTGAAAAAGACGAAAGCTTTTACGGATTTTGCTAGAGCAGACCAGACTTCCGCCGCCCAACTTCCCATAGTCCTAAAATCGTCATATTTGTGATCTAGAAATATTAAAAATTTTTGAAACCTATATTTGAATTTGTTGGAGTTGTACTACAAATTGGATTAAGGCGGATATTTGACAATTTAAAGGGATTAATGGGAAATTGTAGAGAGACAAGTTATGTTGCATAATTGGATTTTGGAAGATATCGAGAGAGGCAAATTTTAAGAGATTAAACAGTATAGTGGTAGGGTATACAAATTTTATAAGAGTATATTTTTGTGATTAAAAGCGATATCAGGGAATTTGGGGATTAAGAGGGAGTGGTATATTCCGAAGTGAATATGGATATGGATATATCTCATAAATTTATTAATTTACTTAAAACTGACCTCTGTAAAATTTCTCCCAAAAATAAATTCATTAACATTTTTAAAAGATTTATTCATTATTTCTTTAACGCCTTTTTGTATATATTTTAAATTGTTTTTGATATAGTGTTCGTACTTTAAATAAATTATTAGAAGTTTTTTTTATTAATTATTTATTAAAAAATATTTTAAAAAATAAAATCTTTAACCAAATATTTAGTAAATTATATGTAAACTATTTAGAAAAAGAACAAACATCATTTTTCGTCGCCCAATCTTTAATTAATATTAATTTCAAAAATTCCTTTAGTAACTCATTAATTTCGGTTTTAAAATTACCCCAATCATTTGCTTTCATTTCTGGATTAACATATTTTTTAAGAAAATTTTCTTTAATTTCATCCATTTTATTTTGATTATTTTCTTCAATTTCGATAGATATTTTTGTTTTTCCTTTAATATCTTAATTTTAAATTAATTATTAAAATAATATTTAAAATTTATTTTTTAATTACTAGAAATTAAAAATACCTTTACTTGAACTTGTCGAGGCAACATCTTGATTTGAATCAGGGATGGGATTGACGAAAAATAAAAATTCGAAACTTTTAATTGACAATTAATAAAACATAAAAACTAAAATTAGATGCAAATTTTCAGATTTTACAGAAATTCCCGGTTACCGAAGAATATTAGAAGCGGGAACGGGTTAAAGATGATTCCACACACTGCCGCAGTCGTATATTTTTAAAATTTCGGATTGGCAGGAAATCAAAATTTAATTTTTTTATTTAAAATTTGTATCGTAAAGTACATATTTTGTTTAAAGAATATTTCAATTGTTAAGCTTGGAATTAGAATAAGAATCCCATCCCTGATAAAATAATTACTTTGTTCATTTTGTTTGACAATTGTTTCTAATTTATTCTCCTCTTCTTTAAAAGAAAAATTTAGTATGAACTGAAGTCAAAGCTCCATATACATACCTAAAGACATCCCTCCTAAGTAATTTCCTTAAAGAGGACTGCTCAAAGGCATTAAATAATTAAAATATAATAGTTATAGGTTGCTTGCTACTCAAAGGATATAATGAATATATGTAATATCCTATCAACAAGAGTCAAATATTATGTGTAGTTATTATTTAAAAATCAAATTTGTTATGATAAAGAAACGATAGGCCGTTTTTTGACCGAGAGAATGGCCAACAAAGTTAATAACTAAAAAATATAAGAACCTCTACCTTTCCACTTAATTTCCAAAGATTTTTCATATTCCCCTTTATTCCAAATTTTTTCGTATTTGAAAAATGCTCTCCAAAAATTAGGAGTAGTCAAAATTTCATATTCTCCTTCTCCCTTATCGGATTTTATAAATAAACTTCTGTCTTCAATTGGATCAAAATAAATAAATTCTTCAACAAGTCCATCATCTTCTAACAAAAATTCCAAACTTCCAAAATCTTTCGAGAAACGCTTTATTCTATCAGCCATTAAAAAACTAAATATTCGACAATAAAAGTTAAGATTGTAAACAAATATATATTTTATAAAATAAAAATTACCCGAACAACGTTTCTGAAAATTTTATAATTTTTTCTTCTAAAGGTTCACGACGATGAAAAAAAATTTTTTTAATCTTTGAGGGAATTTTTTTAACATTTTTAGAAAACTTTTTTAATTTTAATTTTTTCGAATTTAAATTTTGTTCATTCTCTAAATTTTCATTTTGTCTTTCAAAAATAATTTCCTTCGCCCGAGAAATTATATTTTTTGAACCATCAATATATTCACCATTGTATTGTGCAAAAGGTGTTTGACCGGTAGGAGAATCCAAAAATAACTTATTTGAAATACGCTAAAATAATTATATGTATTAAATATTCAATGAATATTTATGTAAAATGAAGGAAAGAAAAAAAACAAGTAATTGAATTTACGCATTCGTCATAAGCCTTAAATTGGAGATAACAAGAGATTTGAGGGACAACAGACTTGTTTAGGCGAATAAATTTTAAAAATTGCTTAATTTAAAAAAACTAGCAAAACAAAACAAACCAAAAAACAAACTCCAAATCACAACCTCAAAATTGGCCCTAATCCAATCATAATCAGAAAAACCCGATAGTCAAAACATTGACCAGCATTAAAACAATACCTTATTACCAAAACATTTAACAAAGCAAAGCATCTAATAGGCGCACCTGATAGGGTACACACAGGCGCTCGTGTGACTCCGCTAGCATTACAAAACAATTCAACTCAAGATCCGATTCAAAAGCCTTTGGCCGGCCCATCTCGCTTACCCATTTTTTCTCCTCACAATTTCGCCTGCTTCACAATTCCCTGTTTCAATATTCCGCCTACTTCTCAATTCCCATTGTCTCACAATACAGCCTGCTCTACAATTCTCCGCTTCACATCACCCTTCATTCTCCTGCTTCAATATTCCGCCTGCTTCACAATTCCCCTTTTTCAATATTTCTCCTGCTTTACAATTCATCTTGTTTCAATATTCCGTCTGCTTTACAATTCCCCTTGCCTCTCACAATACCGCCTACTTCACAATTGCACCTGTTTCAATATTCGACCTGCGTTACAATTTCCCTGCTTACATATTCCACCTGCTTCACAATTCCCCCTTCGTCAATATTCCGCCTATCTCACAATTCCCGGTTTCAATATTCGACTGAAATTTGACGCCTAGCACTTCAAATGAAATTTGACGCCTAGCACTTCAAATGAACGTTGACGCCTGGCGCTTCAAATGAACGTTGACGTCTAGTACTTGACACATGAACGTTGACGTCTAGCACTTGACACATGAACGTTGACGTCTAGCACTTGACACATTAACGTTGACGCCTAGCACTTCAAATGAACGTTGACGCCTGGCACTTCAGGTGACGTTGACAGCTAGCGCTTGACACATGAACGTTGACGTCTAGCACTTGACAAATGAACGCTGACGCCTGGCACTTCAAGTGACGTTGACAGCTAGCGCTTGACACATGAACGTTGAACGTCTAGCACTTGACACATGAACGTTGACGCCTGGCACTTGACAAATGAACGTTGACGCCTGGCACTTCAAGTGACGTTGAACGTCTAGCACTTGACAAATGAACGTTGACGTCTAGCACTTGACACATGAACGTTGACGTCTAGCACTTGACACATGAACGTTGACGTCTAGCACTTGACACATTAACGTTGACGCCTAGCACTTCAAATGAACGCTGACGCCTGGCACTTCAAGTGACGTTGACAGCTAGCGCTTGACACATGAACGTTGAACGTCTAGCACTTGACACATGAACGTTGACGCCTGGCACTTGACAAATGACCAAAATACCCTGCTTTTATACTATATTCCTACCCTTACAACCTATTCAACTGGCAACTAGAGATCGGACAAACGGCAAAATCAAATATCAAATCAAATAATTTGATATTTGAAAATATTTGAAAAAATTTGATTTTTTTCAAAACTCATCAAACAAATATTTGATCAAATTATTTGATATTTGAAAATATTTGAAAAAATTTGATCAAAAATATCAAATATTTGATCAAATATCAAATTTTTCAAAATTTTGGAATTACCTATGAATTTCATTATTAAAGGAATAATTAACATAATAATAACTAAATAACATTTATAAATCAGTATTTGTGATGAATCATTAGATTAAGTGAGATAACTTGGGATTAACAGGGATTAAGAGGATTTAAGATAACATTAGATTCGGGGATTAAGTATTTTCAATTCGTGGGGTTGAAAGTATATTGGTGATTAAGGTGAGAGTTAAATTCCCAGATCTCCTTAATCCTCGCATTAAAATCTCCTTAATCCATACATATCCCGCTTAATCCACCCACCAGGTATCCCTCCAAATCCCCAGATATCGCCATTAATCATAAGATATTATCCACGTATAAGATATTATTCTCAACGATATTTCTCTAAATTACCCTATATCCGCTCTGATCCCCGATATCCCTTCAACTCACTTTATATACCTTCAATCCCCCGATATCGATCCAAATCCTCATATATCCCTTTTAATTATATATATCTCTCTCAACCCCTTGATATCCCTTCTAATCCACAAAATCTCTCAAAATTTCTCGATATCCTGCATATATCCCTCGATATCCTTCAAATTCCCTGAGTACTTGGAAAAATTCTTAATTTTTAGGACGATATAGTGGAGAACCTTTGCGCCGCAGGCAAAATTTATAAAAAATATGATGCTAAATTAACAATTTTTCGCCATTTTCTAACCCAAAAATTGAATTTTTGAGTAAATCAAATAATTTTCAAATTATTTGATATTTGATCAAATATTTGACTTTTTTTGACCTTCATCAAACAAATATCAAATCAAATTATTTGATATTTGAAAATATTTGAAAATTTCAAATTTTTACGAAAACTCATCAAACAAATATTTGATCAAATAAAATCAAATAAAATTTGATCAAATATTTGATTTTCCGACGTCAAATATTTGTTTGGTCCGATCTCTACTGGCAACGCTTTACTATAAAAACCCCCTTTTCCTCACTCCCCCAAATCATTTTACTATAAAAGCCCACTTGTCTATAAAAGGACAGACAGACGGACAAACAAACACACAAACCCTTCTCAATTATATAATTAGATATTTGAAATTAAAATTTTTATACATACCGTAAATGCTTAAATAATGTCCCTCTCTCAAATAATTACCCTCGCCCTATTAATTACCTTCTACTTCCAGAGAGCGGAAAAATAATTACCCTCTTAAAAATAGTTATAATTAGCCTTTTTAGAAAAAGCTAGAATAATTACCCCCTCCAGCGAGAGGTTGAAACAATAATTACCCTGGATAATTATTTTAGCTGAGTAATTATTACCCTTTCCTTTCTCTAAAAACTTACATAAAAATTAATTCCATTTAATTTAAGAAAAACTTCAACTTTTAAACTTTCAAAAGACAAACAAAGTGTGTTTGAAGAACGAGGGAATTGAAAAAGATAAAAAACATTTTCTTTAGCATTTTCTACCAAAAGATTTTCAGGACGAGAAAACTTTAAGCCTTAAACATTAAATTAAATTAAATTTTTATTTAAAATTATTACCAAAAATTGGAATTAATTGGGGAATAAAAAATAAAATAATTGAATTAAAAAGTAATTTTTTCATAATTACTCCAATTAATTTTTTCATAATTACTCCAATTAATTTAGAAAAAGGTTTAGAAAATTTTCATTTAAATTCTTTTAAATAAGGTCTTGTTTTTTATAAAGTCTATTTAAATTATTTAAAATTTAAAAAAATAAAAGAAAAAATTAAATAAATAAAAGAATTTCAAAATAATTAGCCCTCTATAATAAAGCATTTGGGGAGTAATGAAGAGGTATT